ATGGTTAAGTAATTACGCATGTAAATAGTATTTAACAAAGAATAATCTATAATGTTATCAATGACAGGAAGTGGAGACAATGACCGATTGGAGAGAACACCTGTCACATTACAGGAGTCGGGCGACACCAGTATAGTATACCTGTATCTATAATATCGGAAGTAATTGTTAATTTTATGGTCCACTTTTCAGTTTTGTCCAATTTTGACCGAAAAATTTAGTAACGCGTCTAGTGATGTGATATTACCAAAATGTAGCTTCTTTTTTAGTTATTTCATATCAAGATATATAATCTTAAAATAAAGTCAGCATAAAAATTGCGAAGTTTATAATTATTTTTAAAATAGTACTATGATAACTACCCGAATGCGAATCGAACCCTAAAATGCCGGTTTGCTACACTACCTCAATGCGATTCGGACCCAATGACGGTTTGCTACGTTTCGTTTCGTGTAATATGAAAAAATTACTTTCTTCATATTGTAAGAAAGTGCACATTAACAATTAAATTTAGATTTATTTCCATATTTACGAGCCAATCTTTAAAAACCTTGGATTTTAATGCATTAATTTTTAAAGTAGCTTCACAATCATCTCGAGTTTTGACAGCTGTCATAACCTCAAAACATTATTTACAAATTACGAATCTCCCTGACCTCCAGATGAAAAGATGCTGAGTATTATTCTATTTTAAGCAGACTAACTTAAATTGTTACTAATAGTGGTTAGATCTTTAAAAAAAAACACGTGTCAGGTCAATCGATTGATGGAAGTGGACATGATTCTTTGATGGATGGACAACAGCAATCATTCAAACAAGTCAGCTGCCGAGTTTACGGAAAATTTGATCGTGTATGAGGTCCCTTAGGTATTTGTTCAATGTCGTTTCAACGTTATAAACAACAAAGTGTCCATAGCATGTTCTTTGACAGTTTTCAGTTTATTGATTTTCTTTGAGAGATTACATCTGTTCATTTTTCTTCAAAAATAGATATTGGTTTCTTTATTCTAACTACCGGATCTTTCACATGATCCTTAACATCAATAATGGTTTTAAATTTCAAAAGTCGGTATATAATCGTAGTTAATTTTATCCGTGAAAGTTTTATCGGAATTTTGAAAATAAAGTAATTTATGTTTTATCACCATGAAATTAACTCATATGAATTTGAGTGATAAAATAATAACTTAATTACTACTAATCCGGCATTAGGGATTACTTTAGGTGCGGCTTTGTGGCTTTAGTGTCATAAAACCATAGCAAATAATCGGCAGATATCTAAAATAAACAAAGAGTTAGGATTTATCTTTTTTGGGGTTCCGTAAAAAAAAGAAAACATTATAGGAACATTCGGTTGTCTGTCTGTCCGTCTGTCACAGTCCATTTTCTCCTCAACTGCTTATGTCGGTAATCCAAAGACCGTCGAGTAACGAAGAATGAATTTAAAATTGCGGCCTCTTACGGGCGGACATTAGAAAATAAATAAATGTCAACTATTCTAAGTGACATATCAACAACGTGCGAATCTGAAATATACAATTTTTATTTTGAAATAAGGAGTTTTGAATTTATTCAACTACATAAAAGTACAGAGTCAAAAAATATAAACAAAATATTTATATCTATACATATTTGGAAAATCTATAAGAGGTCCATGGTTTTAAAATCTGATATTTGTGCCGAACGGCGAGCCTGATTCGATATTGGTAGTTTTTTCTATATTTATCATTTAAGTGACACGTAGATATACATATGTGAGTATGTTTCAAATAGGATTAGATTCAAGGACCATCGCGGACATGCCGTGAATGCCACTATATTGTGTGCTTGTGCTGACAAAGAACAGGCCTTTGTCTTGTATATGAATAAGTTAACAGCAGTCATCCTTGGTCATTTAGACGCACCGGTCAGCCTGGCTCGAGTGCCAATGTTGTTACAAATGAATCAAATTACTGATATACGAATACTAAAAAAAAAAACTGGTCAAAAGTGAATCTAAGATGGACAGCTGGATACCAAATAGTCGTTAGGAGTAAATAAATGTATTTTAAAGACTAATTTAAAAAATATTGAGAAATACAAATGGCTCTGCAAAAGAATATAAATATTGAGAAATTTGTAGAATTCCTTAAAACATTACTGATAATGCTGGAACATCCAAAGAACGCTCATGTTATATTTGAGACAATTACAACGGTCGTTAAAATCAATGAGCGTACGAAACAAACAATTCTCCACACACGGTATAATCCATATCACGGTGTTTGCCCAAAACGTGATAACCGATACTAACGCGTTCACATTCTACAAATACAAACTAAAGTGGACAGTTATCTTGGTGCTTGTGTTTATGAAGCATTAGTATCTTTATTGTTCGCTCTAAGTTCAAAGAGGATAGTTCGGTTTCATTGGTATCGTATCGACACGATCTGGACAATGGACGTTCCCATATCGAACGGGTGGATTACGAGTTACGAGCGAGACGATTACCCTTTACGAGAATTTGATTGGAGCGCGACTAACGATATGGGTGCACGATGTTGCGTCGTCTGCGTGTAAAAAGCCGACGATTTACGACCGATATAAAAGTGTAAGACGCGTCCCATTGTTTAATTTAAAACCAATATAGGACTATTAAATGTGCCGCGGCACTATCTTGTTTATCGAAACTGGATTTTAATTACTATGTGTAAAAGTTATAAAGACTATATTAGTTTCAAGATTTATGTAAACCATAAGGTTAAGTTAATCGATCCTAATAAATAAAACAATACATTGCGGAACATCATATTAAATGTGTTTCTCGTCCTCACTTAGCCAATTTCGAAGTAGTAATTAACATTATCAGACCCTTTTGTAACGTTTAAATTTTGAAAGAAGATAATGAACCTGACCTCAACTCGCCGTTCAGATAACGTTATCTGAATTAGTGCACCATTGAAAGCTTTTTAATTAGCAAATATTACAAGCTATCCAATCAGAAGTATAGCAAAATAAATATTTTAATGTGTTAACCAAAATTTAAATATTGTTGAATAGGGCGAGTCGCCTTATTGTGCTTTCTGTGTAATTGTTGAGTTTCAAAAGGTCTGACCAACGATTAAAAACTGTTACATTTCTTTGAAGAACCACGTTACAAAAAGGTGCCGCTCGGACCGACAGGCGGCTCCTCAACCAAAATCTTTGTAAGACCTTTAAAACTCTGTAAACGTTTTCCTTGATACCATTTAGAAGAGCACAATAAAATGTACGTTTCTATTACCTGTATTATCGAAAGCGCATTAAAAAATAGGGAAAAGGATATTATTATCCATAACAACTCGTATAACATCTGTAACAGCATAGAAGGCTTTCGTGATTACATCAAACGTTGATGATATGATAAGCATATATATATAATTAGAATCTTCACTCCAGAAATAAAATAACGTTACATTCGACATAATGAAATATTACAACCGATATCTTCATGCTCTTCCACTGAATACATATAGAAGAAATTATTCAAAGCGATGATACTAACCGAGTTCTATATGCCTTTCGATGATCAAACTGGTTTGGTCAAATATCATAACGAAAGGGGTCGCCTTCTAGCAGGGGTGGTTTTTAGGTCAATCGAGATAAGGTGCCGGCGTTTCCACATTCGCGGAACTGCAGTCTATTAATTTCGAGAAACCGGACGACGACAGTGCCGACCGCCAGTTGGCTAAGTAGTGACGTCATTGCGATTGAAATCGCAAACACTATTGTTATGATGGCAAAGCTTTTATGAAGACAAGGTAAAATAAAATACTCTAAATTTCTTTGCGGGTATGTGTGAATATCTTATTATGGTGTGGATATATTAAGAGCATAGGATTTTGATAGTATTCTTTTACTACTACAAGTTATCATAAGATGATAATTTCGGACTTAACTTTTGACTTATTGGATAATTAATTTTATTTAAAAAACCAGGATTAAATGACAACATATGCAATTTTTCATGGATTTAAGATTAATATCGTTTATTTATAAATTATAATGAAAACATTGTAAATATTGTGTCATCAAACGAAACAATCTCTTTCAAATTAGAAGTACAAATTATACAATATGTTTTTCTTCATTATTAAGATTATAATTGCTATCGAACAATTTCGCGTGAAGTTAATGTATCTCCAAAATAAATGGCTTTAGACGTAACATCGAGTTTCACTGGTCCTCATAAGACCGCGGCCCGTATTCATTGTTGCGTGTGTTGCACAGATTAGTCTCGTTAACATACACACCAGGCGAAAGTACCACCGCTCCGGTGGGAACAGACCGACCGCTCAAAACAATTGAAACCGAATTGAGGTGACAATCAAATTAATTGCACGCATGATGTAATTTATTATAATTATGTAATTTTACAGTAAATAAATGGATATGATACAACATAGCTGCTAGTTAGATATTTGAGACGTGTGGTCTTAACATTAAGGCCTTTGTTGGAAATAAATCATGTATTAGTGAGAGAGATGTGTAAAATTACGCTTATGAGAGATATGTACTCTTATTATCAGGAAAACGTCAAAATTATATATATATAATTTTATATATATATATATTGTATAGTTTTATATGTCCCTATATAATTTTCACGAAAATCTTCTTTGCAGCTGACGAATCGATTCGATCGAGTGTGATTCTAATTTTGATGATACATCATTCTTTGTTATATAGTCTTAAAAAACGATAACCTGTATTCCCTTGGTGAGATAAATGAAACCAAAAGCATCTTAGTACCAGCGAACGTGCGAATAGAAGCGCTTGCGCAACTTGCAGGGACGCCAGAACCAACCGCTGGATAATAGGCTTTTATTGCCTCTCGTTGGCGGAAGCACGTGCGATAAATTGGTACGATAGAGAAAATTCTAAGATCGAAAAGTATGATGAGAATTTCTCGATGGTGTTACCAAATTTAGGAACCGTACGATGAATATAAATAATATGAACAATAACAAAATTCACTCACAGACTGAAGACGACGCCGAAGGTCTTGGATATGACCCCCATAGTTTTCTTCCAACCCTTGATGAACTGGCGACGGCGCGCCCCACGGGACGACGCCGCGCTAGCTCCTAATTCCGCGTAAGAGTTAATTTTGACAGCTTTTGTATATGTGAACAAATATTTTCATCACTGAGATACACTTCACTGGAAGTAAGGTTGGCTATCACTTTGGAAGAAATCCATGTTCCTTTAATTCATAGAAAAGTTTGTAAAGCTTCAAAAGCATCACTTGCGAGTCTACTGTTGACGTCCGGTCCGCTAGTTCATTATAATACAATCGTACACGCCTTGACAACTTATTTCGTTAGTTCAATTTGAATATCAAATTGGATGCACCGTGACGAGTGTTCGATTCATATCGCAGGGAACGCAGGAGCCGTGTTTACGAGGCGTCCGCTCGACAGCAAGGCGCGTACGGCACTGGTGGACGGCAGCGGACTTCCACCGTACCTAGCGTAGAGCTGTGACGGGTGCTACGGACGCTACGGGGGTGTACGGCAACTTGTAAAGCTCATGTAATTGTGAATCATTGTACGTATTACATGTGCCATTTGTAGCCTGCAGTTTTCGTAAAAATATCACTGCTATACATTTCGTAGCATTTAGCACTCTTTTTGAAGAAAGGTAGAGTCAATTTTAAATCACCTCTAGGGTCTAATTAAATTGGTGCACGCTACCTGTTCGCTTGCCGCCGCCGGGGTTGTATGTATGTCGCGTGCACGTTTGTCTGTCAGACATTGGTGCACTTCAGTTGAACTTGTTTCATTGCAAGAAAACTTAATGACGTAATTGTGAATGGGGCTATCGCTGAACCCTCGCCTACACAATAGGTACTGAGGCACTAATGTATTGGCTGTATGCACGACTTCATGCGACACTAAGCGTCCTCAACTTTGATAGCTTTGACAATTTGAAATTAAAAACAGTAAAATCAACAACTACCTATTATTTTATATTACAAAAGTACTGCGAGACTGTGACTTTGGTGGACATAGACAAAAAATATTATTTTTAATCATTCAAATTCAATTAAGTAACTCATCATCATCATCATCATCGGCCCTTTATTTCGTCCCCATTCCGTTAGTTCCGTTCCGTTCCGTATGGATGGTTAAGGAGCATGGGCCACGACCCTCCACGCTGGCCCAATGCGCATTGGCGGGTATTAACGACTACAAATGCAGCCGGGACCAACGGCTTAACGTGACTTCCGAAGCACGGAGTAGCTCGAGATAATAATTTTTTGGTCACCCATCCCGTGACCGACCCTTGCGAAAGTTGCTTTACGAATACGATTGCGTGCCGCGGCGCATATCCACTACGTCACCGAGTAACTAAATTTTATTTAAAAAAATATTTTATATTGGTTATGTCAGAATATGTTTAGCTCATTTTTAGTTGCAATTTTACTGTGAAACAAGAAATAAAGGCGCCTTTGACGATTAAATTAAATAATAGTGAACATATACAATAGGGATGACGGCTATTTTTTGTTCTTTTGTCCGTCACGTAGATTTTTGAAAAATATGAAATACGTTTTTTTGTTTTGCGTAATGAATTAATTACGGCGATACACTGTGTTGAAATGTCGCATGACGTCACTCTTTTATACGTTTTCTACAAACCTGTGACGTAGAAAGCCGACACTCCTCAACTTTAATGCCTATTATCTAAGCCATTTCTTGTTTAAATTGATATTAAAAAAATACGTATCCAATATTTCTCTATTATCTAACTAACTTATTAAATAGATTTTTTTTACACAGTCGTCAGCTCTATCATTAGTGTAGGTATCGTTAGTAATAAATGAATAAAAGTTTTTAGATCGAAATAAGTATTGTTCTGTGGACCGGATTTGTGTGTATCACTCACAATATAAAATAGAAGCTTTGATAGCTTGCAATGCCTATGTTTTTTAAAGTAGGTACGTGTAAATGATCTCCGTTGGAACTCATAATCACTAGTGTGTTACGAGGGTCAAACTGAAAGTTCTTAGAAAATCAAAAACTGATTACATTAGCCAGTTATTAGTTTTATTATATCTTTTCAAAATATTGTCCATTCACGTCAATACACCGCTGCATGCGATGGAACCACTGGGAAAAGCACTTTGCCCACTCGTCCTTAGGGGTCTCTTCAATGGCATCGCGATACGCAGCCACCACTTCTTCAGCATTCATAAACCGCTTTCCTTTAAGTTTTTCTTTAATTTTTGGAAATAAATAAAAATCACAAGGCGCGAGGTCGGGGCTATACGGCGGGTGACCCAGTAATTCAACGTTTGATTATTTTAATATTATTTCGATTGTAGCTGAATACAGCACGACTAAAATAATTAAGTGATAAAAGCAAAAATAAACATTTAGAAAATACTTGTACAAATAATGATAATAATAACAAATGTAATCAACCAGGACGTTATTTCACTTTAAAATGTATGTAATGTTAAGTAGGTTTGATAAAAAAATATTATCATTAAGAAAATTTACAAATATATTTTATTTATAAGCACAGTTTATTTATTATTTTATAGATTCCTATACAAATTATGATTTAGATTTAACTTAAAATAAAATTAAAAACATATATTAGTTTTGATGTATTATAAAATCTTGATTAATAAACAGTTTTCACATTAATTCAGTGAAAAGGAATAACAAGTACATAGTATGGTATGACAGATGATAAAGCTCGCAGTGTTTTTACTTTCGCCCACCATGAGCGCTGCGATAGATCGCGTTCCCCCACCTAGTACAATAAATGCAATTGATTTTTGCAGATAAACAGTAATCGTTGATGTCAGAGAGTGAGCTCATAGATGTCATGACTCATTTAATGCAATATACCGTTTGCATATAATGCAATGCATACCTTATGTATAAATTTTAGAATATTACCTACTATCCATATATACCAGATGCAATCTTTATATTTAACTTCATTTCATAAGTCTCTTAACCTTTTATCGCTTGTTAGAGTTCAGTTTGTTCGAGTTGTTTTGTCTAGTTAATTCCAACTAGATGTCGCTACGGTAACTTCTTTATTTCTCCATAACAACCCTTCCGGTTTTCTTTCATGTATAAAAGTAAATTAGTTTTCAAAACTCAATAAATAACTCATATGCTATTTGTACTTTTTTTATTATTAACAGCTATTTGTTTCTTTTGATAAATAAACAATATTGGTACCACGCAAGAGAGCAGTTCCACGAAAGTATTCGTGTTCAGTATTCGGTATAGGCTACACACGTGCGCGTTTCGGTATCGCGACCTATATCTGTTGCACTCATCCCATCCTCATGCCCGCATGTCACGACCTCTGGATCTGTAATCTTCACACCAACTTTTGTATTTCCACCTCTAGTGAGATCGAGAACGAAGAGATACGCTGTGTTCTATTTTTAAATGATCTTTGTTATTAATGTTTTTCTTTTATTCTATCGCTAGACTTAATGTTGAACATCGTTGTAACGGAAGTATATTTTGGTTTACTCTTCTCTGAAATAACACACAGCGTTACAGTTTTATTTTCTTATAGCTGTTATTGTTATTTTCACCCTTATTGATCGTAATATAGAAACATATCTTTATACATAACAAAACGTAGGATTACTGAGTTTAAAAAGTAATGAAATTAGTTTGACGTTATCAAGAGATGGACCCTGATTCCAGACTTTATACATGTACGTCATCTCTGCTTAAAAATACAATTGTCACAATATTGAAAAGTGAGCGAACTACTCTCTTTTTATATTAAACAGAATAGTGCCATCTTTACAAGCAATTGAAATCAAAACAGTTAAAAGATTTGCATAAACAATGACATTTATTCACAAAATGCATATCGTAGATAATAGCTGAGCCGCGAATCTTGAAAGTATGTTTAATTATCTTCGAGCAAAGTCAAAATTATTATTCATTTAGATGAGTAAACTATCAATAGTTTGGATTGAGTGAGATAATCCAATACTCATAACAATGCGTCGAATGTAAACAGGTAGACACATTATTGCCAGATTATAATAATGGATACGAAAAATATGTGCAACGACATTCATACGAGATCCATTTTTATTAATATCATAAATATGAAAGTGTGCCCTTATACGGAAAGACATGGTGAGATTAGTTGGTCTAAGAAGGACACGGTGTTTTTTTCAAATTGTCTATAAAGTCTACTGACGAAGTCGCATTCAAAAGCTGACAATTTCAATTTGGAAGATAGAACCTATATGAAAAGTTTATAAAAATAGAATTACTTAAAATATATATAGGTATTGTAAAGGACCGCTACGCTGACTTTTTGTCCATATTCACCACTGCAGATGCAGTCTGTGTTCAAAATTAGGACATCTCGTCAAATTCGGGCCATCTGGCAATACCGTGCAGGATTGGATCCTAATTATAATGTCGTTGATTGATGTACAGAAAGAACATTAAACCATGAACCATCATGAACCAAGCGTTTTGTGTTAGTGATCGTGACTCACCGAATGCCCATGAGTATCAGTCTACCGATTACGTGAACAATTCTAAACACAAACAATCTCAATATTTCTTAATATCCTTTATATTCGTCACGGTCTGCTTACTTTGCTGCATTACATTATATATTTACATTTAAATAATTGAACATTCACTTTTGCCATAACATTTAAGGTCCCGTACGCAAGTAGGTCTTCATCATCATCATTAGCCAACGCTCGTCCACTGCTGGAAACAGACTACTCTCATCCAGTTTCCTGCTTGCCTCCTAATTTACTACGTTTGATGATCCTCAGTCGCGGTAGTCAGTCAGATACTTGAAATTTTCATAGAAAACATGTTAAAATTTTCGCTATGTAGTCCTTTGTTCAAAAACTTCTTTAGTTCGGTATTCCGCATTCAAAAAATCCTGAAATAATATTATGTCACCGGGTAAGGAACCTATCGCATAAGAGTTACTTTTGACTGGCGTTTAGCCAGTTTTTATTACTGGTGCTCGCGATTTTAATGTCAATCAAT